TTGTCCAAAACCTCTCTAACCATCCAGACTTGATCGTTCGAAGCTTCAAGAAATAGAAGCAAATCGTCCGCAAACATGAGATATGGGATATGGACTGCCCCACGCCCAACGTGTATCGGCCTCCACAAACCCTCGTTGACCCGAGTCTGAATAAGGTGGGCTAACCTCTCAATATAAATAACAAAGAGATAAGGGGACATGAGGTCCCCTTGGCGCACTCCACGCGAGGGTAAGAACGAATCACTTTTCTCCCCATTGAAAAGGACTTGCATGGAAGCCGACGTAACACAAGCCAAAACCGTTCGAACAATGCTGGCAGGGAAACCCGCTAATAGTAAGGAAGACTCAATAAAATCCCACCGAAGTAGGTCGTAAGCCTTCTCTAAGTCTACCATGATAACCATATACCCGGTCTTGCCAGATTTTGTACGCATAGAGTGAATAAGCTCTTGCGCCACAACTATATTGTCCGTGATGTGGCGCCCCAGAACGAAGCTCGATTGGGCATGCCCAATCAGATATGGAAGAACAGGTTTCATCCGATTGACCAACACCTTCGTAATGAGTTTGTACACAACGTTGAGGAGGCTAATTGGGCGGAACTGCTTGATAGTCTCAGGATTATGTACCTTAGGGATGAGAACAAGAATAGTTTCATTCAGATCACTCGGCACGACCCCATTGAGGAACACCGAACGAATAAGGTCACAAACCTTTGATCCCACCATCTCCCACTGCCGCTGGAAAAACATCGCGTGGAGACCGTCAGGTCCCGGGGATTTGAGCGGTGGCATCGCCTGAAGCGCCGAAAAAATCTCCCCCTCACTAACCTCGCGGTCCATGGGCCGGAGAAGCTGTGCTTCCAGAACTGGGAATAGGTTTGGTAACGCCACATTATCCTGGGCCTCACCAGCCTTGTAAATTTCTCGGAAATAATTCACTGCGATCAACTTCATGTCCTTCTGATCTTCCACCCGAGTCCATCCGGCTGTAGAAGCGAGATAATTTTATTCCGTACCCTCCTATTTTGCACCGAGCGATGGTAGTAAGCCGAGTTCCGGTCACCAAACAACACCCAGTTGCGCGTTGACTTTTGAAGAAGTAATAGTTCTTCCTGGATCGAAACTTCCTCCAACTCCTTGCGAAGAGAGAATTCCAGTGACTGAAGTCGCGGGGTAGTATACTTTTGGAGCTCCCGTTGCACGCCCGCTAATCGCCTTAGAAGCCTTTTCTTTCGATAAAAGATATTTCCAAAAACTCGCCTATTCCAATTAGAGGCCTGAGAACTGAAAGAGCGTGCAACTTCCATGTAGTCCCTCCCTTCCCAGGATTCACGAACGAACTTAGAAAACCCGTCATGGAGTAATCACGCGGCAATGAATTTAAACGGCTGAGGCTGACGAGACGGAGGGCTTTCTCCAAGGCAGTGAACAAGCAGCGGGTAGTGATCTGAGTTTGTACGGGGAAGATGCTGGACGGACCCCCTCGAGAACTGGTCCATCCAATCGGAGTTGGCAATAAATCGATCCAGCCGCTGTTGGAGCCCACCACGAGTCCAGGTAAATGGAAGCCCATCAGTACGGACCTCGTGAAGGCCTAGATCGAACATGAAATCAGCAAAGTCACTGTTAATTGATAGGCGATTAGCAGCCCCTCCTTGTCTTTCTTCTGGCCGGATTATGCAGTTGAAATCTCCCCCAAGGAGCCATGGGCCGTTGATGTGGGATGTCAAGTGGCGAAGAGCTGGCCAAAGCGAGCGTCTAGCTGTAGGATTCGGGCTTGCGTAGACGAAAGTTGCAAAAGTACTAAATCCATCCTTGCACGCCCTGATGTGGACAAACTGCTTATGACAAGAGAGTACGTCAACATGAATCTTATCTGACCAAAGAATCCAAATTCCTCCAGAAAAGCCCGATGCTTCGACCCGAAAAGAGGAGTGGTATCCACTCCGACGAATAAACTTGTCTGCATTTTTATGACTAATCCGTGGTTCCAAAATAGCAAACACATCCGGAATATACTGACTCTTAATAGTCGCGAAAGTACAGAAAAAAGGTGCCGAGCCTGCACCCTGAACATTCCAAGAAATCAACTTCATCAAGGAAACTATAAAAGAAATAGTAACCCCCGTCACAAAGAACTCGGTCCCTGTGAAAGCATATTGCCCTCCACAGCCATTCTAGTGTCGTCATCTCCACGTATGCCCTCCTGATATGGGAGCCGCATATCTTCAGACTGCTCCAAGTTCATGGTGTCTCCCGGGTCGAGAATTTCAACCTCATCTTCCGGCCAGTATGATTGGGTGGTGTCACCTACGATCTGGATTGCCCGATGGCGAAGTGGGTCCAAACCGGATGTGACTGGAATGATCCTCTGCGAGCCCCTTGGGGAATGTTCACGGGAAGGTGAATCAGTGTCCATCCCCTCAGCAACGCTTATGCCCGATGGTGGGGGCGGCAAGCTTCTCACACGAGGGGAGTCCTGGCGTTGATTTTCACTTGCGTTATTCCCTGGACCACCACTGTTTTTCCTTCCTCTTGTGGAGTCTACCAGTTGCCAATCATGTGTGTCCTTTAGCTTAGCATTCGGATTACTGACCCTTTTAGCTTGACCCGAGCTCTCTGTACCTTTGGCTTTGAACGTAATGTCCGGAGCATGAGAAATACTTTTACCCTTATTATGTCCTGTAAAGACCGGTTCCCCCTGAATCTCTCCCTCCTTAGGCATTGAATCCTCTTCAACATTCGCCGATAAAATTGCAAACCTTGAGCCATTACGATGGCCCCCCTCCTTAGGCCCTGGTGTGTGTGTCCCTTCAAATTTCCGAGGTCGGGACTTATTCCAACCATTGGTATCCGCTCGCATCCACGGCCCGAAATGAGCCTCCGACCCTCGAGGACCCTCTCTTTCCTCCACTGGTGCCTCTGAATCGACTGGCTCTGATCCACCCTCCTTCCGGCCTGTTTGATTCCCTTGGCCCACCGGTGACGAATCCGTCTTTGTTGACGCTTGCCTTTTGGGGCACGTTGCAGTCGTATGCCCACAAATCCCACAGGTGTAGCATATATCAGGAAGCATCTCATACTGGACTCGTTGGGGTCGTCCTTGAATTGTGAAATGGGTGCATAGGGGCTTTGTCAAGTCAAGGCACACCGCGAGTCGCGCATACTTACCCCTCTCTCGTCCAGCCGTTTGGCAATCTACCTTCACCACCCGCCCCACAATACGGCCCACACTCCGAAAGATCTTTTTATGATAAAGGTGTAAGGGTAAACCCGGTAGGCGAATCCAAGCTATAGTTGATGTTATTTCATTGGAATCACCATCGAACATCACATCCCAAGGTTGAACATGAAGGTAATGTTTCCGAATAATCCACGGTCCACCCACCATTGCCGTTATCGCATCATCTTGAGATTGGAATTGGATCATAAAGTAGCCGTTTTCCGCGTCAACAAACGGACAGCCCTTCATAAAGGGCCAGAGTTCCAATAACTTGGCCTGTAGAGTAGCCATTCGCATACGAAGGCCAAGGAGTTTCACAATGACAACATTCCCAAATGCTTTAATGCGGGCATCAAGGAAGTTGTCCTTGTATTGAATATCCGGTACTGATTTAGAAAAGTCCACCGTGACTTCATCCTCCATTTCACCCTCCTCATCCTCAGCTTCCATCACTAAATGAGGTCGACTGTTGGTCAGAGTATCCCGGAAACTCTTAGGAGGGACTGGTGCATCCTTTGGCATTTCTTGTTGGGCATGGGCAGACCCTTGTGGAGGCTCAGATCCGTTCCCCACCTGCGGCTGCTGAGCACTTGAAAATGCCAATCCACAATCTGTCAATTGAAAATCCGTCGAGGAACGCCTCTTCTTAATAGAACGAGCAAGTGAATTAACACTACTAAGAGGCGGAAATGGGTCCGGTGGTTCGTCGTGAGGCACCTGCAGAGGATCCCGTTCAATCGGCGTTGTCATGCTCAGAAAATCCCTTTTGGTTTTCCCTTTATTTTAAGCTTGTGAAAAGATTGCAAATAGTTTACTACTTGAAAAGTTAAATTTGATTACTAGTTGCTTACATTTGCATGATGCACCTCCATATCTGACAAGCCACAAGCTTTCAACAATAGATCTGAAAGACTCAAACCAAGGATAATTTAGAGCGTGCTTGTATACAAATATATCCATTCAAAATGAATAGTTTTGGTTAATCAAAATTAGTTTTTCAAAAAAAAAAAAAAAAAAGGTACAGTTAATTGTCAGTAAGATTATAAAGTTATATTAACTTAATATTTAAAATAAAATAATTATAATTGATTTGATGTAAGAGTATGTGAAAGATGATGTGGGGATAAATTAAAATTATTTGAGTAAACGAATAAGAAATTAAAATTGATGTGACGTACAAAAATAATTCTTTGATATTATTTAATTATATTAATAATAGTGGAGATAATAAAATTAAGTTAAATTTAGAGTATGAATTGAATAAATTTATAAACAAACACACGAGTCAGGTTTCAGTTTTCGTTTTCTTCACGAGTGACTAACCCCCCAAGTGTGACTTGGGTTTTCTTCCTATCAGTGACTGTTATAATAATACACCATTGCAAGCCATAAGCATCAAATAACATGCAACACTAGTAAAAACAATCATACTAATCACAGGGAACTACCAAAGATTTAACTACTATAAAATGTAAATCAGATTCCAATTAAGATCATAACATATTGCAAAAATAGTTATTCCATTCTCCGGCTGTTGACAGCCCCCACTTCTATACAGATGCAGCAAAACGTGCAAATTTGCACCAATGTTGAGATGATACTAAACAAAAAACTCTACATCACCAACCGACAAAAATCTTCTTCCATAACTTGCATCTACATATGACTAGCGCGAGAAGCAAAATGGGGATAAGAACTGATTATCAATACTAAAAGTAGATAAAAATCATGCTCATTAGTCGAGCTTTGATAATTTCCAATGCAACACCCTCATATCAAGGTTGCACATGGTGAGACTTTGCAGGTGCATTGAGATCAAAAGAACTATCAGAAGAACCGTCTCTAGCACGTTTTCGAGAAATCTGCTGATTATCATTCCCAGAAGTCCCGGATCCGGATGCTTGGTCCTTTGCTTCTACAATCATAGCACAAAATGCGTTAGCAAAGTGCAAGATCCTAAGTACACTTGACAAAATTCATAATAATATATGTTTTTTAAGACTCAGTGTACTAGTTTGCTCATCTGTTCTTTTAGCTCCAAAGTCTACGTTCATTAAAACTTCGGACGCCTAAGAAATGTGCTTGCCGAAAAGATGACATTTTATGTTGGGTTAATTACTTTACCCTTCAAGTTCTCACTATTGCTGGTGAACCCATCAATCAGCTCCTCTGCCTTCTCAACGCCTTGTGAATGGTATGGAGCTATGATATGGATACTGTACTGAAGTGCACCCAGCAAATCATTCTCAATGCACTCATGCCTGTGTAGAATACCAAGAGACAATAACTTTCACCTTTTCACAATAAAAACATAAAAGGGCCATTCAACGTAATCAACAAAATAATCAATGTTTATCTTTTAGAAATAAAGAAACTCCTCAATATTTTGTGTTCCGGTAACAAAATACCACTCTATTGCGGATGTGACTTTGTTAAAAAAAGGAAGGGGAAAAAAAACAAAAAAAGATTATGGATTTGATTGACTCACATTTTCTTGCAGAGGTTATCAACAACCAAAGAGAGATTAATGACTTGCAACCTTGTCTGCATGACTTGTTCATCTGAATACTCATTGAAAGGCTCCTCGAGAAATTTGGATAGTCTCTCGATGTTGGCCTCCAGCTGCTGCTGCTGGTCCTCAAATAAGTTCTTTTTTATTTCTCTGTGCTTTTTCTTCATCTCACCCTTAAACATCTCATCACCAAACATGTAGAATGCAAATGGATACGAGTATGACAGAGCCCGTCTCGACCGGAACAACCTGTAAAGCCCATTTGTGACCCAACTAAAATCCTTTAAATTTGAGTCCCTAGCTTCTAGAATTGATACTTTCTCCTTCATTGTCTCCCTCAGACGAGATTCCTGCTTCAAGGAGTCCACGTGCGCTTTATACCGGCTGTAGTAATGTGTGTATCTGTAGAGGTCTCTCTTCGCACGCTCTGCCTTCTTCACAGTATCTTCTTTAAACCGACCACAGCTATGATTATCAATAGAGTTCCAAGTATGGTTCCGGCCTGTAGCTCCACCACACAGCCAACTACAAAAAGGGTTTGATATAGTAATAATAGCAAAAAAAAAAAAAACTCAATAAATTCAACATTGAAGAATATCCAAATAATACTTAAAAGAATTCCAGAACTTGGTTGATAACATAAAATTAAGAAGGGAAGCTTCCAACAACTACCTTTGAGGTTTGGCCATCGTACCCAAAAAAAAAAAGAAAAAAAAAATTACACACTGAAGTTACAGAAACCACCATCAGTTACACCATTCCAACATTCCACCTGCCATTCGTAGAGCTAATGCAGATTGCTCATATTGTCACATATTTTAACACTTACATGTATAAACTTTGAGTAAACCTAACCTTTGGTTGTACCTTTCACAATCGTATAACTCATAGTATCTAAATATTACCAATGATTAGGCACAAAGCTCAAGCTTATGTGCAATATTGAGGGTTGGGGGTGTAGCCGCACAGTATTTGGTGTGATGATCAAATAAGACGACGCACAGAATGCAACACGCACTCAAACCTCTAAGGTTGCTTTTACAAGAGCCCCATTATTTTAAAATGAGAAAGCAGACCCGGCTAACAAAAAAAAAAAAACATTAACAAAAAACAAAGCTCACCAAAACGACTGTCCGCATACGCAGCTAACCAAGTTACAGCCACCGTTCTTCTCCACGGGCTTGTAGCACTTGGGACAGGGCTTCGTATGCACAGTAATCCAGTTGACTGTCTCAGACTCATCCTGGCACTTCTTTGTCCAAAGCTGCCACATCAAGCACGAGCAAGGGGAGTGTGCCTCCAAGAGACAGCTGAAACAGAACTGAAAGCCACAGGAGCACTCCACTTCACAGAACTCATCACTGTCCACACGTAACGCGTTCCCACAGTGGGGTACGCTCGGGCACCACTTGACCATCTTGTTGTCCTCGATGTATGACTCGAGAAGAAACCGGTCAAACTTCTCAACTAGGTCAGGGTTCCTCGAGCTGACGAGACGCCTGACAACAGCTTCGTCGCATATGGCATTGCATTTGTGGGCCATGCACCTGATTCGCTTGCTCTGGCCCTCATTAATTTTGACAATGAAATGCTCTGTCCAGCCTGGAAAATGATAAAAGGTTAGAATAGTGCATTGTAAAAGTGGCACTAAAAGTACAGCAAAACACAACTTTATAAGTTCTAAAAGAAGAATGGGGGAAATTCTTGTTTGCTTCAGTTGCTAAATTTCACATGAGATGGAACTAATAGTTGCGCAGAAGGCACCAAGTATTTTCACAGTTAACAGCATACTTAAAGTGGTGCTTACAATCGTTGCAAAAGCAATGACCGCAATCCATTAAGGTCACATCTTGCCCAGCCACATCATCCATACATATATTGCACATCACAGTAGAGGGAGGCTCCTCTGGGTCAAGATCAATAACAATACTAATGCCAGCATCAGCAAATAAGCAAGATCTCCCTTTTTCAACATAAACTGAAATTAAATTCTCAACATCCCATCGGTAATGAATGAGAAGAGTCCTGGCGTGGTGTTCTTTCACAGACAGCAAATCCATCACCCGACGTAAATCTTCTTTCTGTACAGATGCATGAAGACTCACACTTTTAGATAACCCAAAGAAGACAACAAACGAAAAAGAACCCAAATACCATTTTGTTACTACATACTTTAAGCTAAATGGAGTAGAGAAATCAAACCAAGAAAATGTCATGGTATAGAAACCCAGAAAACCAAACACAAACTATGCAAATATGACCTTGCCAGAAACAATATTAAAAACTATGCAAGGTAATTTACCTGAGCAGCCAAGAGAGACTCTTTTGTTATAACCTGAAGCATGCACAACAAGAAAGTCATTAACTAACTTTGCACTAAAAATCCTATCGATTAGTAATCTACAAAGAACAGTAACATATCTATAAGAACAAAGAGGTCATGCTCATTGACTAAATTGTCATTACCTTGGTATAGCAATAGACACAATGACCAAAAAGCATAAATGAGAAGATCAATACCAGCAGATGATAATCAGAATACAAACACACCTGATTAAGACAGCTTGAAAAAGGCAGCAACAATGACACAAAGTAACAAACCTTTTTTTTTTTTTTTTTTCCTAAACAAAAGAAACAAATCCTGCTATAAATATTACCATAGAAACACAAGTTTTATACAGTTTTCAATGCAAAAGAATTACATCCAATAAATATTGACTATCAAAGACACATTTCAAAACCCAATTAGAACTGGCCATGCTCACGTTGCCATGAATTGAATTTTCACTATCCTCGACTCCCCAAAGCACCAACCAAAAAAAAAAAATAAATTGAACTTTACAGAACCTGAAACAAACGATCAATTTTCAACTACATAAAAACCCTACTCAAAATTTAGTAACTTATTCTTATCTATTTTGGGGACAGAAAAAGAATCGAAGCAAGAGAGAAAAAAAAAAAAAAGAAAAAAGAAAAAAACGCAAGAAATCGAGTTGAATTGTGAATATACTTTGCAGGTACTTGATTTCGATTGGGCCCGATGAGCATCCACATCGTCACTTTCAAGCCCATTGACCAATTCCGCCTCTCCATGGGTCGAGTAGCAATCCTCTTCGTCTTCGGTGTTATAATAATCCTCCATAATACACAACTTCTTTAATTACACCGCAATGTATCTCTATACACACAGTGAATAAGGTGAACCAATACAAATCAAAGGCTTGTCGGTTCCGCAAAAAATTAATCGCCGGGCAATTTTGGCAGCGAAATTGTGCCGGCGATTGAGAAGTTCATTTGAAGAAGAGAGGGTTTTGTTTCTGCGTGTGGGAAGAAGTTTGTTGCGAAGTGGCCTGCTGTATGTGTGTGTACTAACTATCTTACGTCGTCGTTTGTTTGTGGTAGGTTTTTCTTCTTCTTTTACTTTTTTTAAGCTAGCTTGAATTATTTTGAAATACTTTTTTGTGGTACCAAAAGATTTTTCATAAATACAACACAACAACAACAACAACAACATACTCAGTATATTCTCAACTAGTTGAGGTCTGGGATTCAGTTGTACGCAGACCTTACACTTGTAATTATACAAGGAGGCTGTTTTCGTAGCGACCAAATGTGCATTGCTAAACGATATATCTTTTTTTTTTTTTTTTCTAGAAACTTCACTAATAGAATAAGCACTAGAATTTATAAGTTAGAAATCAATCAGTCGAACTACACCATTGAATCTAGGGGAACGACAACTCATGTGAGAACAACGATAAGAGAAGTCTAGACTACCATAAACACACTCACAATAATACAATACTCCCACTAATGAACAATACAATTTCTAAAAGGAGAATAAATACCAAAATAGACACATAAAATCACATAATACATACAACTACACAAAATACCACAATCATTAAAAAAATAAAAAATAAAAAATAAAAAAAATAATAAAAATAAAAATAAAATAAAATAAAGTCCTTCCAAGAGTCAGCTAGTTGCTCCAAAACAACCACCACATGAGCAAACACCTGAAGACGATCACCTATGAAGGCAGGACCTCGACCCCTGACGCGGATCTAGAAACTCCAAACTCCAAAACGTTATGGTTATTGTTGATATGGTTCTCGCTAAGCCAAATTATCGAAGGTTATTAACACAAAACTACCGAGCATTAATGATACAGGGTTACACCAACTTGGGAATCTTGAGCTCGCAAGTTTCAAGTGTCGTCACATAGGTTACAGCGGACTAAGAGCTGACATCGATACTAAAAGCCGACATCGTTATTTGCTAAAAAGATGACTGAGGCGTTGCCTTCATCCTTTCAACCGACATCTTTTATTAGACGAGACCTAACTAACCAACGTCGGTCGTGTATACTTATCAGTATCATGAGGTAGTGACAGCTCAGACCCGTCATCATAATTGTTATACAGGTGGCAAACAACAAACACAAGTGGCAGCTGACCGTCTTTGACTTCTCCTTTACATTAAATGCGATCACACCAACCTCGTACGATGGGCCACCGCACTATAAATAAGCGAGACAAAACCTCAGGAAAGGGTTGGAACATTCTATGTCTTGTAATAAACCTTGAACATTATCTCAATCAATATCCAATAAAAACCGACGTCATTTATGTTTATTACTTGTATCAATTTACACATCTTTACATTTATATTCGTTGTTAATCATCGCATAACAACAGTTTGGCGCTAGAAGAAGTGCCTCATAAGAATTTTAGGTCAATCTTCGCTTTGACGGCCATCACTTGCTCATATTCAGTCGTTTAAACACCCTAAACTCTGTGAATATGTCTCAATCTGGACAAGACCACAACTCACATGCTGGGCAAAGCCGCAATACAGATCATTCAGCCAGGCAGACTACGCAACCGCCTGTCACAGCAGATTTCACCAGCGTTTTCTGCAATCCAGAGTTTATTCAATGCCTTTCGTCGCCTATGGCACGGGCGTTACCTGGTGCGACAGGCGCATCCCATATCCAGACTCCTCTATTACCACCTGCAATGGAGCAGCCAAATTCTCTCGCTCGAAATCAGGCAGCTCGAACAATAGCCTTGCATGCTACGTCGCAACCGCGTCAAACGTCCCAATACCATGAAGAACCTGCTCGACCGACGGTGAATGTGCCACCCGGTAATGTTGACGTCGGTGCCGCCCGAAATCAAGAAATGATGGCTGAGAGCCATTCTACCCACCATCATAGAGCTCATGCACCTCCACGGCCTCCATCCTCTTTACCGGAAAACCGAGAAGATTTGCGCCATCAGATTGATCGGAACCGTATGTCACGCCAAGGTTCAGAGGAACTGAAAGTTTTGCGTAAACGTTTAGTTGAACTGGAAACCAGACAAAAGTCACAAGAAGAGTCTCCACGACATATCTCAAGTTCGGGCAACGTCACTATTGAAGTTGATTCTCCTTTAGCTTCCGAGCTTACGGCTGAAACTCTTCCTTCCAAAATAAAGATTCCACAAATCGGCCTGTATGATGCGACTTCAGATCCGGACGCACATTTGGGGCATTACACCTCTTGGATGGACTTACATGGTGCGTCCGACGCTTTGCTACGTCGTATGTTCTCCTTCACACTTGGGCCGCGGGCTCAGAAATGGTATTACACCTTACCGCCCCATTCGATATGGAAATGGCAACAACTACGGATGGCTTTTCGTTCGCATTTTATCGGTTCACAAGTTTGTCTCATTCCCAAGGAGTCAATCACCAATATTGTGCAAAAAGATGATGAAAGTGTTAAAGATTATGCATCTCGGTTTAATGAGCGCATCCAGAACATGGAGCCCTGTCACCCCGAGACTTTCCTGGTTACCGCAATCGCCGGACTAAAACCGAATTCGGTATTTTGGTGGACTCTTTGCCTAAACAAACCGGCTATGTTCCAGGAGTTTCTCGTACGTGCTCAACAATTCATCATCGCAGAAGAGTCGATGTCGGTTCCCAATTTTGATTTCTCTATCAAGGAAAACAAGTCGGAATCTGAAGTCAAGAAAAAGAATAAGAAGGCCTTCGACAAAGCTTAATACCGATATTATGCAAAAAGCAATGCAGACACTTCAAATTCTAGAGCTACACGAGATCAATATGCTGATAACGTAAGAACGGGTTACCAGACTGTCTATTCGGCAGGGGCCGCGATTATCTTTGAAGAACTAAAAGGGAAAGGAATTATTCCTGACCCATAACCTGTGAGAACCCTGGAAGAAAAGCTTGACAAGACTCGCTATTGTGCATATCACAAGTCTCCGGGACACAACACCGATGAGTGCCTCGGCTTACTGTAAGCTCTCATTCGCCTGATTGGGCAGCCCCAACTTCAAAAGTTTAGGAACTTTGATGCCCGTCGCAAAGGAAGACCTGCAGACATGTCGGATGACGAAGATATCAATGACCGAGGTGCCAATATGAAAAGATTCCGCATGACCGATAAGGAAGTCTTTACCTTTTCGGATATTGTCAGGACTCCAAGTGTTGAAAATAAAAAAGCAAGAATGTGTACTTCACCAAGGTCTTCTCACTGTAATCTTATACCTCGGGTGAACACTAATGCTAAACAGCTTGACATTTCCCGACGTAAAGCCAAAGCCTACGCTCGAGAAGCACAGAATGCCGGGAAACATGTGTTAAATGTTGATCTTCGGGACACCATCAACAAACGAAATTGTCCCGATTCAATATAGAAGACGCGGATTTATTCGCTCATTCACATTCGGACGCTCTTATCATCACTGCCCCGATTGGAGGAATTCCTGTTCATCGGATTATGGTTGACATTGGGGCCTATTCAAGCATTTTAATGTTCCGCACTTTCAAGAAGATGGGCTTGGATCCGACCGATATTCATCCTTGCAATGACCAGATTCAGGGCTTTAACTGAAGTATTTCTTGCCCACTCGGTGAAATTCAGCTTCCTATTCGGTTTGGAGGATTTGGGCCCAAATCTAAGATCATCAAGGAAACTTTCAAGATCATGGATATCCAGAATGAATATAACGCTACTGTGGGACGTACTGCGCTTTATAAGCTTCGAGCTGCTATCTCAATTTTCCATTACGCATTAAAGTTTTCCACAAATGAAGGAGAAGGCACTCACTATGGGGATCAGCGAGAAGCGCGAAACCTATATACTTATACATTTGAAGCAAAAGAAATCAGTGATTGTGATCAAGGAAACTTCATGAACTCTATGTCTTCCAACACCAATGTGGCAGATCCTTTTATCCTGCACACCGATATCCTGACACTACCCGATACCGACGTTCCCATGACGTCGGAACCATCTGGGACAACAAGCGAAGACCAAGCCCTGGAACAACGACCTAATAAAGAGGTTATTCAGACCCAAGACGATATAGACCCCATGTAACGCCCAGATTTTTATTTACTATTTATGGAGCTCGACTATATTTTCATAAATATTAAGTTTCTAAATTTGATGCATTTACTATATTTATTTGCATTAAATTAAATAATTAGTATTAAAGTCTAAGCCATGAAAAGTTCATTCGATTTTAATTATTAAAGTCGGATTTATCTAGCCCAAGTATCAGTTATATTTTTATAACCGAGCCTTGGACTATTGGATTTTATTTAAGCGAACCGAAGCCGAATAATGTAAATATTCGAGCCCAATGAATTTTGAGCGGATCCAATTTATTAGTCGGCCATCCTTAATTCGAATAGTCGAATTAATTTCCAAGCCCAAGCGATATTTTAAATATCGAGCCCTCGTAGTATTTTATTTCCGGGCCCAATATTAATTTTCGACCCAAGTCGAAATTATTACTACAAGCCGTCGTATTTTAATTATCCGACCAATTACATTTCTAAGTCAAGTATAGTAATTATTCGGCCCAAGTCGAGTTTATTTATCGAGTCCAATTCGAGTAACATTTCTAGCCCGAATTTATTAATTGTTAGGCCCGGTTTTAGGCCGAACAAGGAGAAAACCCTAAGTCTCCTACACATTCTATAAATAGATGGTCTTCCTTTTCCCAACAAAACCCTAGCCACCATACTATTCATCATCTTCTTCCTTCACCTTCTTCTCCAAACAATTCACTTCCATTTTCAAGATCCAAGCTCTACCCTTCATTAAAATCTAAAAGC